GAATGCCAATTTGTCTGCATCTTCTACAGTTCCCTACTAAGAAAAACTGATATATGCCATTACTAATTTTAAGTTGGAAGGAGGGGGAGGAACACACTTCCCCTCAAAAGAAAATTCATTACCTTTTCAGATTCACCATTGCCCATGGTATACCCGTAGGTGTGTTGAAGGCTGGAAGAAGTTTTCCTGCCAGTTGGACTGCTTTGATCTTGAAAACCTAAGATAGTAGGATCAATTGCAAAGAGTTAAAACGTCTGATTTATCTCCAAGAACTATAAAGACTGAAATTTCCTTGCCCCACCTACCTCTCTGTATTAGAAAAGCTTTACATTGTAAAAAAAAAAATATTAACTTATCATTTATTTTTCACTTGTTCATTTTATAAATTTCATTAAGACGTGAACATGAAAACTTGTAATTTTCATTTCTTCCTTCCATGTTCTCCAGCAATAGTGCTTAGGTTCCTATCAAAGAAGAATATAAATTCTCCTCCCACCTCCCTCCACCAATATTAGGAACTTCAAGTGCTTTCTAAAGCAGTCTTTAAACCATACTTTATATTTTGGAGCTAAAAATCAAGAGGCAACTCCCCCACCCCCCACACAAGTATTTTAACTTTTACAAATCTCGAATCTCTTTTTAACTATATATATATATACAGAGTGCAGACAGAATTCCTATTCTTTTATGAACATTGTTGAGGCAAAGCAATATATACACAGCTTCCTGTAGCTTTTCCTCATTGATAATGCATAAAAAAAATAATTACAGGCTTAATCTTCCCTTTCAAGTCTGAATACTCATGGAAATTACTGAGAGGACAACATCTCTTTCATTTCTAGTGTTGTTCCTACTTACTTTTGGAACATAAATCTGTAATAGCCTTATTCAGAGCCTAATGTTTATTAATTAAATGAGCAACTGGGAGAAAGTTCCTTTTAAGCCTATAGGAAGCATCTTTTCCAAGAAGGCATATTTGGTAGATCCCCATGACATAACACTGTTCTTACCAGCTAGTTGCTAGAATACGTTTTAATTAACTCATTGTCAATATTCGCTACATTTGTGCAGAAGTATCTTCTTAATTTGCAGATAACATTATTCAGTCTGAAGCACTCTACAAACATGTAACAAAAAGAGCTACCATGCCCCAAAATAACTTATGCAACATGGACATGCTATAGAAGCATTATTATCAACTACGCGACCAATACTCTGTAATCAAGAGAAATAAGAGCTTTAAGAAAGACTAGAATACAGCTCTGTTGGATGTATAAAAAGGATTTGTCCCTTTTGTAAAGTCTATGGGAGGAAAACAGAAGAGATGCTTGCTGAAGAAGCAAGCTGAAAACTAGCTGAAAAACAAGCAATCAAGAGCATCCTCATTTTTCATATGAAGGTGGGAAAAGATCAATATCTTAATATTTGAGGAGATGACTAGTGAGACATGAAATAAAACAGAAAAGAATATTAAAGATGACATCTAATTGTATTTGATGCAGTGGAGTATGGAGAGATGGAGGTGGATCTGAAAGCAATGAGCCAGGAAAAAAATTTTACAGAAGTACTCTAAATGAATTGTAAGATGGGATATGTCTAAACTGAAAAAGAAGATACCTCAGAATATGATTTGATAGAATTGTGAAGTAACAGAGGCAATATGACTTGAATGATTTTTAGCAAAGATACTGACAAGAGACAGCCTTTGAGAAAATACGCAGAAATTTAGCAGTAAAATTCAGATACTCAGATTCAATCTGACCTTGAATAAAGGACCACGTCAAAATAGGACAGCATAGTATAAATAAGAGGTATAATACAGGCAGAATATATCGTAATTGGGGAAAAAGAAACCCTGAAGAGAACTAAAAGCTCCATCTTGGTCCAGTTACATATAAACTACCTGATTTGCATCTATAAATATGTGTCAAAAATTCATGCTGAACTTTTAGATTTTTAGTAGTAGATGGGTCAAGACTAGACAGAACTATGTAGGGAGTCATCTAAAGGGAGTTCCTCTACAGCGCAGACAAGCTTCAACACCTAATCTAGAAGAGAATGATGACTTCCAGTTAAATGGTACATAGTTCGGAAAGACATTTGTGGCATGAATTTGTATAGCTTCCGCTTTTGGATCCTGCACCCTCTGAAAGCACTACGCGTTATTGTCTTATTCAATAATAAAAACATATTGAAACGTTAGGGTAAGAATGTTCAATGGGAGAACATTCCTAGAAGCATCCTCACTAGAAGAATATTCTTAATGGCTAACTATTTACATACCACTATCCAGCTTTTAATCAGTTTGAAATGCACTATGATGATTGCTGGGGAGCAAACTATAGTATTGGAAGTAGTTTTTAGTATGAGTATATGAAGTAAAGGTTGAGCTGATCTAAATGTGCATGAATCTAGACAAGGACAGTTAAAGCAAGGCAATCACTGTGCCAGCCATTTCAGCACATGAGCAAACCAGAGTGTCAGGGTGGCAGCAGAAACTGCTAGTTCAGACAACCATGTTAGAATAGAATAGACTATTTCAGTTGGAAGGGACCTACAATGATCATCCAGCCCAACTGTCAATGTCAGCACTACCTGCAAACACTTCCTGTGATTAGAGGCACCCTCCCGTCACCTCTGTTGGGTTGAGAACTCTATGTACCACTGATTTAGCATCAGAAGGTAGAACTCTACCTTGCTATATCCCTCTCATCCAAGACCGAATCCAAGGAAACACTTAAATTGGCTGGAGACATGCCTTTACTTTCTATTACTGCCATCTCAGTCCTATCTCATTGCTGCTTATGGGTAACAAAACTACCTAGCGCACGATACAGTGTTTACCCGTGCAGACTGGAGTGAGAACTGAGACACAGCTGCATAGGTTTTTGTCAGAGCAAAGTGACCAGAAGAGCGTACTTTGAATAGACGTAGGGAAAAGAAAGAAATGTAACAAGCGGTGCTGGATGAAATGCCTTTTATGGGAGACTACAGATGTGACCAGAGTGCTCTGCTGAGCTCATTAAAGTGACTTCTTTTACTAAGTTTCAGATTTACTGTAAGAGCAACAGTAAATGCCTCAGGCTCTAGCTTTTAAATAATGTGCTGGCATCAGACAAAATGGTTGCTTATCATATAGTAAGCTGTTTTGGGTTTGGGTTTTTTTTTTTTTTTTAAAAAAAAAAACAGGTTGAACTGATAGATTCTATTTCAGCCTTGGCAGTTCCCTGTTGACAGGCAATGCATTTCAAGAAACATACAGGCAAGACGAACAGATAAGAACAAAAAAATGAATGGATGCCTTGAAAACAGAGTTTATTAGGAAACAGTAAAAGAATTTGGGTTATTTAGTCCAGAGAAAAGATGCTCAAGAGAGGACAAGATAATGACTTTTCAGTATATAAAAGGCTAATACAAGGAAAAGGAAATAACATTTTTTTTCTGTGGACATGGAGAATACAAAATGGAGCAAGGGGAAGTAAGTTAGTTATTAGCAAAAAGTTGGTGATAAGGATAACTAATAAACATGACTGTGACTGCTGCAAAATCATCACTAAAGCTTTTAAAAACACACTGCAACTATGAGGACTGACATGATTTGACTCTGCCAGGGAACAGAAGAATAACCAAGAACTACACAGCTTCCTTACTGCTCTTCCAGCCATATTGCCAATTAATCAAAGGGCTTGTGCACATTCCATACATGTAAGAGGAAAGTGTTTCATTTCTCTCGGGACCTTGTACCTACTCCGTAGGCCCACATAGCACCTTTATAATTAGTGCAAAAATCATGAAGACCATCCATCCTCAACATTCTTTGCTAGCACAAGCTCCACAGTATAGGACCCTAAAACAGCCAGGGAGTCACAGAAACCACAAAGATGACAGCTCTCAAAGAAGTGCTGTTCCTGCAGGATAACTCAATCTTCTTTCAAACATGCATTCACACTTACGTTAATTACAGAATTTATCATGTAGTGGCCTTAAGATGCGGAGAAAACTGATCAGTCGTCTTAAAGTAAAGACCCCATAACAGCTCTAGCAAGGTGTCCTATTTTTAAGATGCAAAAATACTGTTCTAGGTAAACGTGTATTAATCCCAGGGTAGCTGTTCTGTCCATTCTCAAAATATGGACATTTTTTCAGAAAAGTTTCAGAAGCCACCATAGACTTGGAGTAATATTTCCATTTTACACGGCAAAATCTGGTATGCTAAGTCCATCAATTTACATGGCCTTTGGTAGACTAATGCTTCTTCCTGCAAATGCTGTAAAGCAATGGAAGGATTTCTTCCCCCTATAAAATACAAATCAAGCTGTTTACAGCTAGAAGGGGAGAGAGTGAAAATTAGCCAAAAAGAAAAAAAAAAAGGCAAAACCTAGACCCCAAATCGGCTAAGTGGATCCCTCATTAAGATGAAAACATCAATCAGTATCTACAAACTAGTGTGTACAGCAGACCAGCTGTGAGCCTGAGTAATTTTCATCCATTAAATTGATGCTTAACATATCAAACCTGCCACCTACCCCACAATATGAAAGCTTGCTCCTGAGCCTATTAATCCAAGTAAGGCCAAAACATTCAGCAGAAAAGGCCTTAAAGATTAGGAATATTCTTCAAAAGCCTTATTGATGTACCCAGTGACTGAACTGAGATGCATGGCTGCAACTCTTAGAAGACTACATTATGCTAATACTGTTCCAAGGTGTTCCTTTCCAGCACTATGAATGGCAAACAGCCTCGAATGGCCTCTGTTCCTAACTCTGAGGGGGATTAAATATGTCTTATACAGATAAATAATCTCTTTCACTTATGTGCATAGATCAGTCTTTGAGTCATTCTTCTTAAGCAGTAATAAATGCCAGACTTCTGCTTAATCTGACAGTTATTAACTAGTGAGCATCCATGGTCATGCAATGTGGCTGGTTCTGCAGGTTTGATAACTTTTGATCCTCAAAAAAAAAATCAGACAAAACAGATATGCTGCACAAGTTCACAAAAATGTAGTACTCTCACCGTTAGTGCTACTGTTACTACCAAATGCTACACACATTTCCTTTGAACACTAAGCATGAAGATGACGAGGCAGACCTATGTAATTACTGAATGCAAAAAAAAAACCCCAACCCAAAAAAACCAACAAAACACCCTGAGCATCTGACAGCAATACTAGACTCAGAACCTTGAGGAAAATATTTGGTATGTCTTGGCCCAAAC